GATTGCTGCTGCCATTTAACTCCCAGGGAATCACAGCTATATATCAGTCTGAGAGCAGAGCAGAGGAGAGGCAGTTAACTCCCTCCCTTGGTCAACCACACACACACACACACACACATGCACAGCACTAATAACACACACACACACACACACAGACTAATACACACACACACACACAAGCACAGCAATAGTCTAATACCACACACACAAAATAATATCATTAATAATATCATTAATACTACACACGTTCACAAAATGTTATCACTAATACATACATCGAGGAACATCCTCTTACATTTAATCCATGTACATTACATTAATTTCTTAATTTATGACATTGATCTATTACATGAGCTACAGTTTCAGCTTCTATGGCTGCTCCACTTTCCATTCCTTGCCCTTTGCCTGATCATCATCGCAGGTCCTTAATGCCGTGGTGTGCCTTACTACCGAGGAATACATGTATCTGTATTCACACTGAAACGCAACACGTGTCACGCTCTCCACAAGACACATATCCAGAATAGCTTTCCTGTCCTCTCGCTTACCCCCGGCTTTATTTCTGTTTCGCTTCCATTCCCCTGCGGTTAACAGCTCTGGTCCCCCAGCGGGGTGTAGCCCTCCTGACACGGGGTGTAACCCACACTCCTCTGGCCTGTTTTTAGAGCCCTGCTGACATGATGCAGCACAGCCGGGCCAGCCAGGGGACCCTCCATCAGTGTCAGGCCCAGCGGCGGGCTCCTGTCCAGTGCATGTAGGACATGCATACCTGGGTGATGTGTGCACATAGCTGCAGGGTGCTCTGGGACACTCTGAGACGTGGATAGGGGTATCAGAGGCATGGTGTTACAGCTCTCACCGCCTCTAATGCTGTTAAAGTCTTTAAACCTGAGGGGATGATACAGTCTGCAGGATTCTCAACCAACTGCCTTCTGATAAGGTTACTGACATAGAGCTTTTAGCTATTCAGTAAATTGATATTACAAGTACAAGTCACTGGTTGTTTGGCTTACAGCAGTTGGCCTTGTAAAAATGTGAGTGATCTGTCTGACTTCAAAGCAGCAGTGAAATTGTAGCACAGTAAACTGCATCCTCCACAGACTCTGAGCCTCAAAACAGGAAGTGTTCTCTCAGCTCTTCTGGAGAGGTGCATTGTGGGCCGTGTCCCACTAGACAGACTGTTGTGACGCCAGGGTTCCTATACTCTACCATGGTGGAGTACTTCAGGAGCACCAGGGAACTCAGTGGGGGAGTTGGGCTCAGCAGCCATTTGCTAATATTAACACTGGAGCTTTCCCTTTTCTCCTCTCTTTCTGGAGAAAGAGCGATGGAGAGATGGTGAAGAAGTAGAGAATCCTGAGAGAGAAATGTAGATAGAGATTGCCATGTGTGTGTGTGTGTGTCAGCTCAGGGAGGTTCTTAGCTGGGACTGGGGGCCTGAGTGGGAGTGTGTGTGGCTCTGTGTGAGGCCTGGGAGTGTGTGAGGCAGTCTGGTTTGTTTCTCCTGCTCCATGTGGGAGGGAAGTGTTAAAGATGTCTGCCGTTCATCTGACTACAGTCTTCCTTAAGAACAAATAAACACATCTACTCTCACTAACTGACTAAGGGTGTCTGTGGGGAACGCCAGTCTACAAAGATGAGGATGAGGTCACTCAATTTAACACACTTGGTAGAGCTAAATGAAAACCCAATTGTTGCTGTCTAACCAAATACAAAGCCAAATGTTAAGCTAGTTTCTTATTTATTTCTTTACGAACTAAATTGTTTCCAGACCAGAGGTTGCTCTGTGGCCTGACCTGCAGTAGAATGAAAGGCATGTTAGTGTAGTGACAGTTCTCCCCAGACCCCTCAGCATGGGGGACTGATTATAGCTCATGTTTACACAGACAGACAGATACAAGATGGAATTTTCTCTTCGAGGAGGGCCGGGCTGTAGTCGGTGGTATTCAGCTCTGTGTGTACTTTAATTGATTTGACTTGAGCATACAGCCAGCCTTGTGGTCCTCTGTAGCTCAATTGGTAGGCCATGGTGCTTGTAACGCCAGGGTAGTGGGTTCAATCCCCGGGACCACCCATACGTAAAAATGTATGCACACATGACTGTAAGTCGCTTTGGATAAAAGCGTCTGCTAAATGGCATATTATATGATTTATTTGTCCGTTTTCGAGGGGGAGGGCGGGGATAGGTAGAGTGAGGGCGTGGGTGGTAATGGAAGGTGTCGGGGGAAAGAGCGGCATGCTCTCAAAACAACACCACCATTGTTTAAGTGTATAATTGTGGGTTTGGCTGGAAGGCGGGAAATGGTGAGAGAGAAAAAACGCCCACCATCTCGTCTAGACCATATTCATCTGTTTCTTATGATTGTGACTGAGCCTTGAGTTCAGTGCAGTCCTTGGTGGAGCATTGGGTTGGTTGGCTGCAACTCTAAGCAGGATGCAGAGTGATGTGTTTCCCCTGAAGCATGGTTAGAGACTGACTGACTGACTGAGTGGTGCAGAATCTGCTAACGATTGCAAGAGAGAGAAAAAGAAAAGACATACAGAGAGAGATGGAGAGAAAGAGGAGATAGATATAGGGAATATATATATATATATATATACAGTGGGGAAAAAAAGTATTTAGTCAGCCACCAATTGTGCAAGTTCTCCCACTTAAAAAGATGAGAGAGGCCTGTAATTTTCATCATAGGTACGCGTCAACTATGACAGACAAAATGAGAAAAAAAATTCCAGAAAATCACATTGTAGGATTTTTTAATGAATTTATTTGCAAATTATGGTGGAAAATAAGTATTTGGTCAATAACAAAAGTTTCTCAATACTTTGTTATATACCCTTTGTTGGCAATGACACAGGTCAAACGTTTTCTGTAAGTCTTCACAAGGTTTTCACACACTGTTGCTGGTATTTTGGCCCATTCCTCCATGCAGATCTCCTCTAGAGCAGTGATGTTTTGGGGCTGTCGCTGGGCAACACAGACTTTCAACTCCCTCCAAAGATTTTCTATGGGGTTGAGATCTGGAGACTGGCTAGGCCACTCCAGGACCTTGAAATGCTTCTTACGAAGCCACTCCTTCGTTGCCCGGGCGGTGTGTTTGGGATCATTGTCATGCTGAAAGACCCAGCCACGTTTCATCTCCAATGCCCTTGCTGATGGAAGGAGGTTTTCACTCAAAATCTCACGATACATGGCCCCATTCATTCTTTCCTTTACACGGATCAGTCGTCCTGGTCCCTTTGCAGAAAAACAGCCCCAAAGCATGATGTTTCCACCCTCATGCTTCACAGTAGGTATGGTGTTCTTTGGATGCAACTCAGCATTCTTTGTCCTCCAAACACGACGAGTTGAGTTTTTACCAAAAAGTTCTATTTTGGTTTCATCTGACCATATGACATTCTCCCAATCCTCTTCTGGATCATCCAAATGCACTCTTGCAAACTTCAGACGGGCCTGGACATGTACTGGCTTAAGCAGGGGGACACGTCTGGCACTGCAGGATTTGAGTCCCTGGCGGCGTAGTGTGTTACTGATGGTAGGCTTTGTTACTTTGGTCCCAGCTCTCTGCAGGTCATTCACTAGGTCCCCCCGTGTGGTTCTGGGATTTTTGCTCACCGTTCTTGTGATCATTTTGACCCCACGGGGTGAGATCTTGCGTGGAGCCCCAGATCGAGGGAGATTATCAGTGGTCTTGTATGTCTTCCATTTTCTAATAATTGCTCCCACAGTTGATTTCTTCAAACCAAGCTGCTTACCTATTGCAGATTCAGTCTTCCCAGGCTCGTGCAGGTCTACAATTTTGTTTCTGGTGTCCTTTGACAGCTCTTTGGTCTTGGCCATAGTGGAGTTAGGAGTGTGACTGTTTGAGGTTGTGGACAGGTGTCTTTTATACTGATAACAAGTTCAAACAGGTGCCATTAATACAGGTAACGAGTGGAGGACAGAGGAGCCTCTTAAAGAAGAAGTTACAGGTCTGTGAGAGCCAGAAATCTTGCTTGTTTGTAGGTGACCAAATACTTATTTTCCACCATAATTTGCAAATAAATTCATAAAAAATCCTACAATGTGATTTTCTGGATTTTTTTTCTCAATTTGTCTGTCATAGTTGACGTGTACCTATGATGAAAATTACAGGCCTCTCTCATCTTTTTAAGTGGGAGAACTTGCACAATTGTTGGCTGACTAAATACTTTTTTTCCCCACTGTATATATATAGAGAGAGAGAGAGAGAGAGAAGGAAAAGGAGAGAGCTAGAGAGAGGGGGAGTAAGTCCAGGGGAGATTCTCATTTGGTTAAAAGACCTCTGTTCTCTCTCCGTGACCTGGAAACCGATAAGTGGTCGAGGAGTGCGTCAATTCGTTAGTAGGCAAACAGAAGAGTTTCCTCCCCTCCTCGATAGCCTCCTTTCATTGAGGATACTCAAGTGTATCCTACCGCAGAAGAGTTTTGAAATCTGCCACACCTACATACTCAGTAGGCCTCACTATCACTGGAGCACACAGGCTGCTACTGCTGCTAACGTGACATTTCACCCTCCGATAACGGTTGCATGCTGGGAGTTTGACGCTGAGCAGGCCAGACAGTTTGGTCTCCTCTGAGGCTCCTGTCTTTTGCATCATGGAGTCTGGGTAGTGGATAGATAGCCTCATAGCTTCACTTCCACTCTCATCATTATCTTCCCTCAGACCAAAACCCACCCTTGGGCTAGCCTGATGACAGATCTGTTTTGTGCTGTCTTGCCAACTCTTATGGTCATTGTCACACCATAGGAGTTGGCAAGACAGCACAAACAGATCAGGGACAAGGTTATCCCCGGGCCAGCAGAGAGACAGACTCAGTGAAGAAGTTCATTCGGCCATTTGGGCTCGATAGCTCATAGCTAGGCTGTTTGCTGCATTGGTTTTGTGTGATTGAAGCGATGTAACCCCTGACTCCATTGGATCCTGTGGGTGAAGGGATGACGTGTGGGTTAAGAATGTATGATGGGCTATTTAGGGGAGGAATGGGACAGAGAGAAGGGGACATGGGCAGAGTGTTGGGAATGGGCTACACCACAGGCGTCTCTACCCCTATAAATCTGTCAGGACGGTCTCCAGGCATAGGACTCACTCTCAACCCCCCATGGGCTACACCACAGGGGAGAGGGGGTGAACGGGGAGGGGGTGAGGGAGGGAATAGTGACAGGGATTTTATATCTAAAGGACAGGTGTATATTGAAATTAATGTGGATGTGTATTATTGTGTAATCATTTGATATATCAGGTTGTAGGCTGTTGTCGCAATCAGTGCTAAAATAAATACTGAAATGCCAGTCCCCTCACTCACCCTTTTTCCTAGTAGTGCGTTCTCTTTTTTGTTTATTGAACATCCATGCACCCTCCCATCTCCCAATGTTGTCCCTGTGGCAGCAGTGGGTGTGTAGTTAATGTTCTGTGAGTGGTTAGAGGGGCTTAGAGGGGGCTCACCCCTGGAAAATGAGTGGTGTTCCTAAGCCCCTCGCCCTGTCCCCAGACACCCCATCTTAATTAAGGGCTTTTCTGCTTTTCTCTGCTCACACACACCCTGGCTGACCCCACTCTAAGCCCCTCAGTTTCCCTTGAGCCTCAAATCTATCCCCTGGCTTCACCACCTCTAACCTCCAACAGGCTTCAGCCATTTATTCCCCATCCTAATGTGATATAAACCAGCACTTCCATGGGACCACCACCACCCCACTACTACAGAAACAACAAATATTGTTGGGAGAGGAAAGGAAAACAGCAGGGGGATGTATGTATTTGTTTCCAGGGATCAAGGAAAAGGACAAATTACCCCTTGTGGGAGGTGTACACATCTCCTCCTCTCCTCTCCTCCTCCTGGCCCAGGAGTCTTCATTACGAGAAGAAGAGACACTTTATTTTCAATGTATTAGCACATTCTCAAAACAAGCCATTGACCTCAGTGGGGAAGGAAAGAGGGAATGGATGGATGGAGAATTAGGGAGATCTCCCTCTATCCGTCCATCTATTAAGCCAGGGATGTTTTCTATCTAGAAGGAGCCTCTGTAGAATGATGATGATGTGGCGCAGATTGGTATGGACAATGACATGGATCTGGTCTGAGGACAGACAGACACTGATTGGTGTTTATGTGAGTTAGGACAAGCTTGAATTGCGTGTATGCGAGTCAGTGCCATATTAAACTACAGAAAATAGAATTTAATGGAATTTTAAGTTGGCCTAATGGTGCTTTACGTTCCCCCTGTATTTAGTACAATAGGTATTATGTAGGCTATGTGTAATGATCTGACAAAGTGTGCTAGTGCAGAAGGATACATTTCATCTGGGAAGTGTGTATCTTGTGTTCTCCAGCTGACAGATGTCTTGCCCTGTCTCATCTCTCCAGGGAGCAGCAGTGGTCAATAGGTGTTACAGCAGATAATAGATATTGACACCCTGGTCTATCTGGTGCCGGTCAGGCATTATCTGGCCTGACCCCTAATGATGGTGTCACATGGGTGCTTAAATCCCTGTTAAACATTCTACTGCTAATGGATGGGCTCTGTATGGAGGCTGAGAGAGAGGCAGGCTGGCTGGGATGCTGGCTGGGGCTCAGGTGTGATCTGTTCTCTCGCTCTGTAGACTAGCTCTCTGTAGTATTACTGCTAGGCCGGTCCATGGGGCCCCTTCCTCTATGAGGCTGGGAGAACCAGCCCAATCAACAGCTCTGAAGAGATGTGTTTGTGTGTGTGTGTGTGTGTGTGTGTGTGTGTGCGTGTCTGTGTGTGTGTGCGCATGTGCATGTGTGCATGCATGCCCCCAGAGGCCCAGAGAGAAGTGTTAATTACTGGTTGTGTATGCACTGTCATCCCCCATGAGTCTCTCTGCTCCTGCTGCTGCTCATATATCATGCAGAGAGTTGACTGCTGATGCTACAGCACAGTGTCTGTCTGAATAGGACCCACCGGCCATGCACAAACACTGTAGAGGGGCTCCGTTTAGTTCTTGCATACTGTATATGGTACTATCAATGGACTTTATCAATGGACTGTTCTGTAGAAATAAGCAGAGTTTATGTCTAGTGTTTCGAAGTACTTACCAGTTCTTAATTGTTGGAGTGAGCAGCCTGTGATTCAATATGAACTGTGACTGTGACTGAAGTACTGACCGGTCTATATCTTTGTGTTTCCCTCTCTCTGTCCACAGTTCCAGATTTCAGCGTCGATGCGCTGTCCACCAATGACATCCAGGAGCGTGGTGGCCTGGGCCTCCCCAAGGTGTCAGGCCTAGAGCGCAGCCAGGAGAAGAGCCAGGAGAGCTGCAAGGACGTCCCCGTGCCTCTCCCCACACCCAGTGCCCCCCAGCAGTCCCTACCCCCGCAGCCCCACGCGGCCGGCCGCCCACAGACCCTGCCTCTGTCCCTACCCACCTTCCAGGCCCAGACCTCTCTCCCCGGTCCCCGTCTGGCCCAGGCCCCCGTCCACCAGCCCCCACGCTCAGAGGCTTCCCTCAGGCCTCAGATCCCCGCAGCCCTGCCTCTCGCTCAGGGCCAAGAGCCTTCACAGGCCCCCCCGCCCAGGCCCCAGCACCAGCCTGAGCCCCTGTCCCACCCCCGGCCCCAGCACCAGCCTGAGCCACTGTCCCACCCCCGGCCTCCGCCCAGGCTGCACCCACACTCCGCCCTACTGGCCCACCACCCCAGCCAGAGCCAGGCCGGGCCTCAACGCCTCCCCTCACACTGTGGGCCCCACCCTCGCCCCCTGTCTGCCTACAGCAGCAGCCTTAGCCTTAACGGCCTCAGGTGAGTCCCAACACACTCTGTTTACACCAAGATATGTAGGCCTGTTTTTGTCTATTCATGCTCCAGTAAATGTATGTTATCTTTTGTTTGTGTGCGGTTTTGATATTGAGTAATGCAAAGAGATGCCCCTTTCAGACCCCGTCTAACTAAAAGTATTTAAACTCTGATCTTAAATCAGCATGTAAATGATTGGCAAGAACAAGCCTAGAATTCGCATTAAGGTGAAACCCCCCCAGCCAAACATTTTACATTTTAGTCATTTAGCAGACGCTCTTATCCAGAGCGACCTACAGTTAGTGAGTGCATACATTTTCATACAACATCCCTGATTCTCACCAGGGTGGGAAAACCACCGCCACTCCAGCTGAGCGATAAGTGCCTTGGATTTATTAACCACCCACATTGTCATCTGCTGCGGAGTAGCCTCCAGCTCTCTACCTACCCTTCACAGCTCTCTACCCATCTCTATTAATCAGCTAGCTGTTCCATTACCCATAGTCGAGCAGTGAGCCAATGAGCTCTTAGTGTGTTAAAGTTAGAATATTGTGCATTAACTCAGAGCTCCAGGATAGCTCTCCCAGAGCCCCAGTCAGCCCCAGTCCCAGGGAAGGCTCTGTGTCTGACTCCCTCTGCCAGTGTGCCAGTGAGTCAGTCAGTGTGCCAACGGGTCTGGCAGAGTCTGTGAATAATCACGGGGTGGTTACAGAGACAGGCGGCAGCTGCAAATGAGCTTTTGGGCTTAGCTTGTTAAGATACTGCTACATGGCTCTGAGTCTCGGAGAGACAAATCCACACACAACACAAGGCTCTCTGCCTGGTCTCTTCCTTTCCATTTTTATGCATGTACCTCTGGAGCTGCTTAACTACAGAAACGTTCAAACACAGATGCTGTTCTATAATGTTTGCCAGTGGTGGTTATTGGCATCTAAGGGTGTTTTGAAGGTAACATTTTAATACATCCTGAGATTCAGAGAAAAGTCTCTTGAGGAAAATGCGATGTGAAACCTTTCTGTCAGAGCTTCGTATCTACTATGTGCAGGGAGGAAGCTGATTTAGGTGGTCCCCCTCTCTGTCCTTCTGTCTCTCTAGCAGCAGTCGGAGCAGTACCCCGGGCGGTACCAAGCCCCACGGCCCTGCTGGTCCGTCCCCACACCTACCCCACCTCCTGCCTTCCGGCTCGGTCGCTACAGCCACAGCCATCCCCCTGCCCCTCCCAGCTAATCAGATTGCTCCCCACGGCTTCCCCCCCGCCCTGCAGTCCTCGCCACACCCCCACCACCCCAATATGTTTGCGCCTCCACCGGCCTTGCCCCCACCTCCACCACTGACGTCTAGCACCCTGCCAGTCCCCGGAGGACACCCCGCCGCTGGGACGCCCTATTCAGGTAGGCACATATACAAGGCTGCGACCATGTGGACAGGCAGGAGAACTGCATCACAACAGCAGCTGTCGCAACACACAGACAGCGAAGAGCAAAGCTGTAAATTCTCATGGCTGTTGTGGCAGAAGCCAGGTCATCTGTGGCGTGAGAGAGGTGCGTGTGGAGCACCAGACGTATTAAACTGTGACAGGCAGTGAGACAGAGACTGACAGAATGTTACCTTGGTGCTAATTTATAGGACACAGAGACTGACGGGTGAGGATTCCACACATAGCTGCACTATATGCCGTCTGTGTTTGTCTATAATGGTGCAGTAGGTGCAGACAGGTGTCCTGTCCTTCCCTCTGTCTATATTCTGTTGTGTTTGATTGATTGATCACTCAAACAAAACACACTTTTTTCCCCAATCAGCCCATGTGAGGAATGAGCTCTCCTGTCGTGCCACTTGTGATCTAACTTAATGTCAGGGTCCGACTGAAAAGGAGTATTATCATGGTTTAATAACGCTATGAGCAATTCTCATTTTCACAAGGAAATGTGTTCATCTCACAGAAATCTATTCAGTCAATAATGAACTCCACTGTATATTGTTCAGATTCTAATGAAACTTTTATGAAGAAACAAATACAATTTCCCTCAACTCAATAAGAGCTGGAAATAAATGTATAAAATGGTGCATTAAATTACCGTGGAATACAAATGATATGGTTACTCTGGAGAAAATAACATTTCTCGGGCCAATTTGCTACATTTGGACGGAGAGCAGAATATAAAAAGTATTTCTCTATTTCTCCTCAAGCCTTTGTGTGCCAGTCAGTTGATCAACAGTTCTGGTCTAAAATGGGGTTAGAGGTTTTCATATAATTGCAATAAAGGTGCTGGCTCTTCAAGCAGCCTTCAGGGATGCCCTGTGTGACTCCCATAGTAAAGAGAATACCTGAACTTTGATTCTCTATCTTGGTTTTAATGTGATATGTGACTAACACTATACATCCTCTGTAATGGTTGTTCCCTGATCATGAAGTACTGTACCTCTATGGATGTTGTTACTCTCACACAAAACAGATCCAGCACAGACACTTTCACTATCATGTATTTTCTTACTCTGCTATTCTTAGATAAAACAGATCCAGCGCAGACAGACAGACAGACACTGGTCCTGACCATGTCTCCTCTCTTCCTCCTCTCTTCCTCTTCTTTCTCTTTCCTCCAGAACAAGACCTGCTGCGCCAGGAGCTCAACAACCGTTTCCTCGCCTCGCAGAGCGCCGACCGCGGGGCCTCCCTGGGTCCGCCCCCGTACCTGCGCACCGAGCACCACCAACACCAGCACCAGCACCAGCATCAGCACCAACACACGCACCAGCACACCCACCAGCACACCTTCACCCCCTTCTCCCACACCATCATGCCAACCCCTGCACCCCCCATGGTGCGTACCCCAGCCAGAAATGTGAGGATAAGTAGAACACCACTCCAGGGAGGGCAGAGGGGGTTGGTGGTTTTGGACAGGAAGGGGCGGTGGACTGGGGGGTAAGGGGTGTGGATAGTGATAATAATGTTTAATTATGGTTTATTTTATTAAGCACTTACAGCAAAAACTAAAAAAAGGTGTTTGGTGTACATACAGTAACAATAGGGTGGAATGGATAGTGTTTTTGCATACGAGTGTTTTAATACAGTATTGGTGAGTCTATAGTACCATAAGGCAGTTCCAGTCTTGCTGGAGGGAAACAGGTTTTCTGTGGCGTGCCTCTCAAGGATGACCATCTGTTTCTGCATGTTTTACCACAGTGATGCCTTTCTTCTCCCAAAACTCTTTCTAGTGTTTTCTCTGGCATATTTCGGGCACCCCAAACTGGAATGGAGCTATTTCTAAACTGGCAGTAAATGCCCCCGAGGCAGAGTTGTTTAATTCTGTGCCAGCTTTGAGAACATAATACCAGTTTATTCATTCTGCCTTAAGTGACATCATATAGAGTGGAGTTTTCATTATAGGAGAATACTTTGGGTTTGGAGCCCTGCTGTTAGTCTGAGGACACAGGCTGTCCCTCTGAAACAGGCCTGCTCACCAGCCATCTCTCTTAACACATACACACACAAGTATGCACACATACACACACGCGCATACACAGACACACCCGTGGCCCCAGACAATGCTCACACACACACTCACATAGGCTGTCATAGGCCTACTGTCACCGCTGAGTATTTCACATTGCTCTGAAGATATTCCTCAAAGGCGGAATGGCTAGCGCTCTGACAGCTAATGAGGACATAAACGTTTTTTTACGGCCGCAGTGTTTAAACTTGACTGGGGAAATGTTCTCCCTGAGTCCACATTAAACCACTTAAACCTCCCCAAATGAACACAGCGCTACAGAGAGCTGGATAGTTTATGAGCTCTTCAGTCGCTCACGAAATGGGAGGGTGAGAAGCAGGGAAAGGACTCTTAAGGCTGAGGATAACGATGTGGTCAAATGGCTCCTCTGTCTTCTTGATTCACTAAACAGCCCAGTCTGTCATGTCGATAATTACGCTTCTGTTGAGCTGCTGCGATATTCTTTCAGATGTACATTGTGTGACTCCTGAAATGTCCTTAGAAAGGGACATTATGTACTCACTCAACCCTCTATGTTAGTTACAACGTATCTTCTCTGTATCCTCCTTGTTCTTAGTTCTGTTTATTTCATTCCTTCTACAGTTTGAAAAATTCCCAACAAAAGTTGACCCCTTCTACAGACACAGTGTGAGTTTCTCTATGTGTTTGTGGGGCAGTTTGTGCATTCTTCACCCATCCAGCCATGCTAGTCCATGTTGTAGCTGTGTGTGTATTTGTACAGTAGCTCCCATGTCATCCCCCTCTGCTTCTGCTCTGAGAGAATACAGCGTCCTGTCTGTCCACAGCAGAAGACTGGCCAGATGCTCTATCTATGTCCCCATCACAAATGTCTGTCTGCTAACACCACTATCTGCTTTCTCATTCATTCACTACTTTACCATTCACACAGTGGAACCTGGCTGAAGCATTGGAACCCCCTTCTTACTCAAGTGAATAGAACAAATTATAAATTGAGTTCAGTGGCTCTACCAAGCGTGTGCGTGTGTGTGTGGTATGTGAGTGTGTGTGTGGTATGTGAGTGTGTGTGTGTGGTATGTGAGTGTGTGTGTGGTATGTGAGTGTGTGTGTGTGGTATGTGAGTGTGTGTGTGTGGTATGTGAGTGTGTGTGTGGTATGTGAGTGAGTGTGTGTGGAATGTGAGTGTGTGTGTGGTATGTGAGTGTGTGTGTGTTTGTGTGTGCCACTGTATGCTTTGTCTCTACCACTTGACCTCTGCCTTCAATTACTGCTCTGCTATTCAGAGGCATTCAGCTGTTGCCCACGTTGTGAATCAGAGTAGCAATTACATGTTTGTCAGAGTTTGGTCTTAATTAATCTCACTGCTATCAGCACCGTTAGGCGGGGTAACCCCTATTTAAAATGAATTCATTAATGTGTCAACAGAGAGACACTGGTTGTGATTATATAGGAGTATTCTTTCTGGTGAGAGAGTTCATTTTTACTGTCAACACTCACAGAGAAAGACTATAGCTGTAAATGGGTTTTAGTGGCTACAAGTAATTCATAGGTTATTAGTGTGTAATTTCCATGTCATTGCTTAGTAAATCCCTGGTGATTTCAGTAGTATAAACAAGTGTGACCGTTCTAGTTTTGCTCAACACTTTTAGGCACTAAGGTCAGTGACAGTTGTAGGTACCTGACTGATGGCGGTCTGGATGTTGAACCCTAGTGATGGTGGGGTTGTTGTGACGTCATCATGTCTGTCATGTGGTGTTGTTACCTCCACCCCGGCCCCCCTGTACCCTGTCATGTCATCATGGCCCCTCTCACCTTCATCTCACTGTTCATACAGCTGCTGTCCTTCTCCTCTGTCTGAGCAACACAACACTCCACCCATCCTCACTCCTCTCTCTGTTCCCTCTCTTCTTTGCTCAGCTGTTCCACTCCTACCCCCCGGGCGTGTCCGGCATTCCTCCGGTGATCCCTCCGACTGGGCCCTTTGGCTCGCTGCAGGGGGCCTTCCAACCCAAGGTAGGGCCACAGCCCAACACCACACACACACACAGTTGGTGAACCTGACAAACACACCTTCAGTATAGTGTGCTCTCTGAAGACCAACACACAGCTAAACATACAGTATGTTATCAGAATAGGGAACTTAAAAACATGTGCATGTACACACTAAAGACAGAGACGATGCTCCCCATACCTTCCTCTCACAATGAGCTCTCTCTGTGTTCTGCAGACTTCTAACCCACTGGATGTGGCCTCAAGACCTGGAGCAGTCCCACACACACTCTTACAGAAGGACCCCAGGGTAAGCACCCTAGCTGGACACACTCACACACTCAATAATGAAGCCATGCATTAGGAACGCCTGAATGACAGACATTAAAGTAACTGAGCCATCTCCCAGTATGAAAATGTATGCACTCACTAACTGTAAGTCGCTCTGGATAAGAGCGTCTGCTAAATGACTACAATGTAAATGTAAATCTCTCTCTCTCTCTTTCCCTCCTCTAGCTAACGGATCCGTTTCGGCCCATTCTCAGGGTAAGAATGTTAATAGCTGTAATTGTCTCTCCCCTACCTCCCCTACCTCCCCTACCCCCCTCTCTCCCCTACCTCCCCTCTCCCACCCTACTCCCTACCACCCCTCCCCTACCTCCCCTACCTCCCCTCTTCCCCTACCTCCCCTCTCTCCCTACTCCCCCCTACCTCCCCCCTCCCCTACCTCCTCCCTCCCACCTACCCTCTCCCCCATACCCCTTTCTCCACCATACTCCTCTGCTCTCCTACCCTAGACTACCCCACTACTCCCCTAACCGTCCCCTCTCCCTACCAGTCCCTCTTTCCCTACCTACCCTACCTCCCTAACTCCCTCTCTCCCCTTCCCCCTCTCCCTACCCGACCGTTGACCTCCCTCCTCCTAACTCCCCTACTCCTCCCTACCTCCCTACCTCCCCTCTCTCCCCTACCTCCCCTACCTCCCCTCTCGTCCCCACCTCCCCTCTTTCCCTACCTCCCCTCTCCCCACCTCCTCTCCCCCTACTCCCCTACTCCCCTCTCCCCTACCCCCCTCTTCCCCCTACCTCCCCTACCTCCCCCTCTCTCCCCTACCTCCCTTACCTCCCCTACCTCCCCTACCTCCCCTCTCTCCCCTACCTCCCCTCTCTCCCCTACCTCCCTTACCTCCCCTCTCTCCCCTACCTCCCCTCTCTCCCCTACCTCCCCTACCTCCCCTACCTCCCCTACCTCCCCTCTCTCCCCTACCTCCCCTCTTTCCCCTACCTCCCCTCTCTCCCCTACCTCCCTTACCTCCCCTCTCTCCCTACCTCCCCTCTCTCCCCTACCTCCCCTCTTCCCCTACCTCCCCTACCTCCCTACCTCCCCTCTCTCCCCTACCTCCCTTACCTCCCCTACCTCCCCTACCTCCCTAGTCTCCTACCCTCCCCTCTCTCTCCTACCTCCCCTACCTCCCCTACCTCCCCTCTCTCCCCTCACAACCAAATTAGTGAACAAACTGGACAAATAATAACGCCCCTAATGTCTATACAGTCCTTGAGAATCCTGCATTTGAGGTTAACTGTATCAGCTGGTTTTGTGTTTTGTGCAGAAACCGGGGAAGTGGTGTGCCATGCATGTCCATATGGCCTGGCAGATCTACCACCACCAACAGAAAGTCAAGGTAAGACCTCCCCTGTTGTGCTTCATGATAGTGTGGTTCTCTAAACCCCAATGTTTTATCATCTAAGCCCCAATCTAGTTTAGGTAGTAGTGTAATCCAGCTCCTCTCCTGTAGTGGAGGGTAAACATACTTTTTTTTACGCCCCTTTTGCAGAGAAATGCAATAACAGTATAGGGAGTGTTACTCACCGCGGTCGGCGCTCAGCGTTTACCAACCTGTTTTTTATTGCCTCTACACTGGGTACCTTCATGCCTTAGCTCTCAAATAACCAACAAAACCCCTTCTACAGTTTGGATCCATGCTGCTGCTGCAGTGTTGGTGGTGGGTTTTTCATGTGCTGTTTTCCCTGTCTGGTGTCTTCCAGCAGCAGATGCAGGTTGACCCGCACAAGCTGGACTTCGGGCTCAAGCCGGAGTTCCTGAGTCGACCCCCTGGCCCCAGCCTCTTTGGTGCGATGCACCACCCCCACGACTTAGCGCGTCCCGCCACGCTCTTCTCAGCAGCAGGTGAGGGTGGGTTGGTTAGTGCCCTGGGTAGATGATTGACACCATAGAAATAGGATTACTAGAAGGAAAAAAGCCCTTCAGACCAGGGCAATTTGACTGGAACACTCATGGGTCATTGTATTTCTATGATTGACACACTCTCTCCAGGACCTCCTCTCCCCACAGAGGTAGATCAATCCTTCTGGACCCATAGAGAGGTCTATTTTTAACAGAGTGTCGAGGCAGCGCACAGGTCTCCACATGGGTTATAGATTACATGCTAAGATCAATGCTCTTGCCTCTAAAAGGGAAAGAATACTGTTATCTTTCCTATATTGTATCTCAGTTTAAAATCCTTATGGAAGATGTCTTACATAAACTCTCTATCTTTTCCATGTCAGGTTCTACACACCCGTCAGCCGGACCGTTCAGCCACCCGCCCCACCACCCTGGCAACTTCCTCACCCCTGCAACTCACTTAGGTAAGACACAGCACACACAGTGCACCTAGTCACGTCAAATGCATTTCAATTGATCATTGTCTCACTGAGGGTGTATGGAGCAATGACAAGTACAGTATGTCTGTGTCAGAAGCTGGTTGACCCTGTACAGGAGCAATATAGAAAATGTGCTGACTGTGTGTTTGCTTTCTCTCTCTCGCTCTCTCTCTCTCTCTCTCTCTCTCTCTCTCTCTCTCTCTCTCTCTCTCTCTCTCTCTGTCTCTCAGAGCCATTCAGTAGGCCTCCCTCGTTTGGAGGACTCTCCTCTCTCAGTACAGCAGCCTTCGGTGGGCTTGGAAATCCAGCACTAAGTGAGTTTCATTTCCATGACAACATCATATGTGTATTTGACAACCAAACATTTGAGGATTTCCTGTTAGATTATGAAAATGAATGTTGCATAATGTATTCATGGAATTCTAGTTGACCGACCGCCACACCAGCGAGATATGCCTTTTAACTTGCGTTTTGGTCTTTTCTTCTTTCCGTATGTTGAATCTCTAACAGCGCCTAACTCTTTGTTTGGCCATAAAGACAACCCCAATGCACAGCAGCACTTCAGCAACAACCACGAGCCGTGGAACCGGCTGCACCGCACGCCACCCTCCTTCCCTACCCCTCCGCCCTGGCTCAAACCTGGCGACTCGGAGAGGAGCGCCTCGGTCAGCTCCCACGAGAGAGACAGAGACTCAGACAAGCGAGACACATCCTCCATCAACAAAGACGACAAGGAGAGGTGGGTGTTATGGAGAGGTTTTACCTTTAGCAGTCACACCAGCAGAATGTCAGAAGTTGTAAAGCTTTGCTCTGGCTGAGACTATTTTCTTCAATAGTTTTTTAATAGATGTCGATGTTTTAGGGGACTTGTGCCAACTCTGAATGTTAATACCACTGACAAACACTGAAATAGTGGTACAAATGTTACATTTACTTCATCTTTAAAGCCCATTGTTTTGTGTCCATCCAGAGAAGCCATGGAGAAGCGTCATCAGAGCCATCCGTCCCCAGTCCCCATTAACCCCATCAGCCTGCTGGGTCACAGCCGTCTCCCAGAGCCCCAAAAGAACCACCTGCCCCCCAGCGAACCCCCCAGGGACAAGGACAAGCCCAAAGACCGAGACAGGGAGAGGGACAGGGAGCACCCCGACTCCTGGAAGGTCAACGGCACAGACGAGCACAAACTCAAAGAGAATCACCACGTCGACAAGGATACAACGCCAATCATCCACGATGGGCGGGTGACTGAGGACAAGGCCAACGGCAGAGGAACAACCTCACCCTACATCCGCCAGACCAGCCTGGACCGGCCCAACGGGGGGCTGGGGAGGGGGGAGAGAGAGGCCCTGATGGAGAAGAAGGGAGAGCTGCCCTCTCTCTACGAGCACCACAAGAAGAACAACAACGAGGTGAAGGTAAAGGAGGAGAGGAAAGAGCAGGACAGCCCTACGGACAGGGACAGACCCCCCTCTCACCCTCACCTCCACCCACACCCGCCCCAGGTGCCCCCCACGCCCAGCCTCCACACCCTCCCCCACCCCCCTTCCTCCATGGCGATGCCCATGGGCATGGCGGGCGTCCACCCCATGAACAGCATCAGCGGCCTGGAGAGGACTCGAATGGTGGCCCCCTTCATGGGCATCAGCCCCATTCCGGGGGCAGAGAGGTTCCCCTACCCAGCATTCCACTGGGACCCCATGAGGGACCCGTACAGGGCCCTAGACATCCACAGACGGGACCCTCTGGCCAGGGACCTGCTGCTGAGGAACGACCCCCTGCACCGGCTGGCCGGGCAGCGCCTCTACGAGGCAGAACGCTCCTACAGGGACCGAGAGGCTCATGACTTTAACCGTGACCACCACCACCCTCTAGCCCTGGAGCAGCGCCGGGAGCAGGAGGCCCGGGCACACTTGGAGGAGCGCGAGCGGTTGCACATGCTCAGAGAAGACTACGAGCACGGCCGCCTGCACGCCGCCATGCACCACCCAGCCCTGGACGGCCACCTGCCACACCACCACGCCGGCCTCATGGTCCCCGGATTACCCAGCATGCACTACCCCAGGGTCAGCCCCTCGGCCGCCGCTGCAGCGCACGCCGCCCATGCTGCTGCAGCCGCCGCCCACCAGAACGGTATCCTGAACAAAACCCCGCCCACAGCCTCCCTGAGTGCCCCGCCCCCCCTCATCCCCACGCTGGGTGGCAGGCCGGGCTCCCCCAGACGGACTACGCCCCTCACCACAGACATCAGAGACAGACCATCAGCACACAACCACAAAGACATAGAGGCTCGGTGAGCAGAGTGGGGCGCAAATCTCACCCTGGATTGGAGGCAGACTACAGGCATACTCTGCCCTGTGCCTCACATCAAGCACTTAGCTTTGGAAAAACCAGACTGTACCATAGCTGTGACAAACACCCACAGATGATGTTTTTGTCAAATTTTAAAAAAGGTCGGGAGACAAAATTATGAAGAAAAAAACAGATTTTACAAAGCTCTTTTTCCAGTTTGCTCCTGCTTTTTGTGTGTATTCTTTCTCTTGTACAGAACGTGTCATGGACTATCCTGAAGGTGTGTATGGTAATAGAAATGGCACCCTCACAAAGACGTTTTGGAATGTACAGGTACTTCAATGCATTGACAGGCAGCAAAGTGTGTAGATATGTGTACAGTGGACATGCTCACTCCTTAAGGAACAAATCAAGGTACAAATATGCAAAAGGGTGTTTTGAAAGCTTTACTTTGAACAAATGTAAATAGAGGACTATTATTAACGAGGAGGAAGTGCAGAATGTGCTTTTTTCGGATTGGTTTTTGCTTGACGCAGCTGAAAAAGGTTAATATTGTACCAGAGACCACCATACCCCACATTCAACTATGCAACAAATGTCTTGGCTTCCACTCTGAAAGCCAGCCTGGTCACCATCCCAACTGACTCTAACAACACTGTATTCTCTCCACAACTTAGATCTCACAAACCCATAATAATGTATGTATCACTGAAATGAAATCCACAGTATGGTATACGGTTGTGCAAACGTTAAAAAAAATATTAAATATGATACAAATGTGTGGTGACAATCCTTAAAATTCCTATTATAGAGCTATTCTATTTGCAGAGATATTCCAATGCCTGAAGTCACCTAACACAGTGGTTCCCAACTTTTTTCCCTTAATGTACCAACAACTGAATTTTGCTCAGCCCGGAGTACCCCTGAAGTACCCCGTCATGTGCATTTTACCAGTAAGCCTATGGTCTAATGAGTCTTCTCAAGTACCCCCTGGATAGGCAAAGTACCCCCGGTTGGGAACCACTGAGCTAACAGAGAGAGAAAAATCGACAGAAAGTGAGAGAGATCACTTGCCTATCAATTACTCCAACAACTCAACTCACACTACTCCCACCACCATTCTTGTTTTGGAAAGAATACAGCACATTTACAAAAATACCCCACATTTTCCCTTCTAAAGGAGTGTAAAGTACGTGTTTGGAAATAAGTTATGTTGGTCTAACAGTGTATTAAAGTGCTATCCTAAGCTGTTGTATCTACAAAAATAAAAAAAGACAAAAAAGCCAGTCTAGACTATGGACAGTTTGTTTCTAATGAGCAGATATCTATTTTAGTAGTCCACTGAAGGTTTAGTTGTGCGCTTCAAAACTCTGTGAGAGCCAGATGTTGTGCAGTGTTTTTTTAACCCCACATTAAAAATGTCCACTGAAGCGGTAGTGGTTAGTCAATGCATATTGCAAAGAGATTGTAAACAAGAAAAGCGATTTTGCTGTTTATCATGTACGTAAAAAAAAGATGTTTTCTAGATGAGAAAAAAACAACAACAAAACAAACGATGCGACTGAATCTTCAGCATGCTCCTCATTTAAAAGTGTGTTATGTAAATTGTGCCATGTTATTAAAAAATGTGAACTAAAAATGTCTACTGGCTTTTTTATGACCATGAGAGGAAAACAATGGCGGTTCCCAGATATTAATAGACCAACCCATGGAGGAATTGGGACTTGGGGGGTACAGATAAATCTGCCTGTGCCGGGGCAGACGTCGGGCTCAGGGGCATGATGCATTGCTTTATACAGGGGCAGGATTGGAGAGCACTGAAAATCCATCTCTCTAAATCAGCAGTTACTCACAGTACTGTATGGCATTCACATTTCCTGAAGTGAATTGGAACCTTATGATAGATGTCTATAGCCAAGAACCTCTTATTCATCAATATGGAGGGTGGCAGGTAGCTTAGCGATTAGGAGCGTTGGGCCAGTAACCAAAATGTTTGTCCCCCATGAGACACTGTAGAAGTGGGAGCCTATTTCACTTCCTCAAAATCCCCAGAATGAATCTAAGATAACAGTATATATTATATATGTAGTATATATTTAATATTTTTTTACTGCAACCGCCAACTACAGGAGGACTCAGGAGCCCGCTTTCAATGAGTGTAGACTGCCTGCTGCCGCTCTGCTAATCATCAGATGGGGGAGGAGAGGTTGTTAGGGGGGCATGTGGGTAACTGGGGGGCCCTGCCTTGATTGGGTAACTGATTCATAAAAATGTTTAAATAAACTGCATAATAAATAAATGTGCCCGTATGAGGCCCAAGACAAAAAAAAAAAATAGTTTATTTTTTGTATTATTATTTTTTTAAATTGCCAAACACAGGAGTGGCAGGCCGGGCTCCCCCAGACGGACTACGCCCCTCACCACAGACATCAGAGACAGCTACACCTGCCACCCTCCATACACCAGCGAGCATCATTTAGCCACAGAGGATCAACATTTATAAAAAATAACTGTAGATTAAGTTTTATCAGAAGCACATACAGGTTTCTGCCAAAATTAAGGATCACCAACATAAAGTGTCTTAAAGGGTGTTGGGCCACCACGAGCTGCCAGAACAGCTTCAATGCACCATGGCATAGATTCTACAAGTGGACCTAAACCATGCCAGGAAAATGCACCCCACACCATAACATATACTTTGTATCCCTTGTTTACTCAAGTGTTTCCAGTTACTGGTATGCCTACAGTTGGGAAGGCTGCAGTTTGGGAGGCATGCCAAATATAGGCTACAGTTTGTTGTGGTTGTGCCTATCGACATATAATCCATAGAAGGGTTTTGTAACCTCTTACCCTGGCAATTTGACTGTTAGACTTATGGGAACACTAGCAATGGATGCCAGTCCTGATTTGAATAGGAACTGCAATCTATGGATTATATTTCCATGGTTGGTTGCAGCTGTAGGTTTGTCTTTTGCAGATTTCAAAATACAATAGCTTGAAAAACATACAGTTTGGAAAGCAAATGCCTACTGCTGAAAAGAGAAGACTAATCTGTCTGTAGAACAAATATAAATAATTGTTTCTCAACAACTCCCAATTTGTAGCTAACAGCAGCACTGTTTTTCATCTCATCTTGAGATAGGCTATTGCCACAACGAGCTCATCGGCCATCACCATGAGTAGCCTATGGCTTCGTCTTCATCATTAGATAAGTCAGTGTGCCACTGAACATTTTATTTAGTAGCTACTGTAGCCTATGATATACTGGATATACTGTATATATATTGCCTTCTAATATTGTACAATCTGTGTGTCGCTTCATTGGCCTGGGCTATTATTTGTTTGAATTCAAATCCAGATTGATCTCAACTGATTTCTTAATCCAGCCCTGCCTTCATTTAGCTGTTGTGAGGCATGGATGTTCCAAACTTCGTTTTAGGCGAGACTGACTTCTTGACCAAAATTATCCTGTTTACACTTTGTAGTCAATTTTGACACTAGAATAACTTTTTCTGACTCATATCGATGCCACATAGGCCGTTTTCAAAGGGATGAGTTGCTTTTTAAAGGCAGTCGCTCTTTAATATCTTCGGCTGAGTGATGGAAAAAAAATCGTCCTCAGCGACAATTATTTCAATAATTCAATGGATGTTTTGTGCATAAAGTGTCTTATTAGGAATGTTCTAATCTGACCTCTATGTGGCCGTCTATGGAAATTGTCTTTATGGGCCAGGCATCAATTAAACTGTAGTACCAAAGCAAAACTATAGGAACCGTTGAAACCGTGCTTCTGGACTGGAACCCTGACCCCTTGGTCTAGAGCAGGGTTCCCCAATAGGCAATGTTTTTTCTCCCAATAGGTGGTTTTATCTGGCCCCCTAAGTTTTCTGAGTAAAAAAAAAAAAGTGAAATATAATAATATGTAATTTTTGTTGTTGGACATAAAAGACTGTAAAATCACCAGGAAATCGGCTCAAAGTTATTTTAATTTAGGAAATCTGTTCCCAAGTATTCCCACACATAAATAGAGTGTGGAGGTGGAGTGGCCAGAATCCGGAATCATCCCGGAAGCGTAGTATTATTTGTAGTATTCTTCCTGTTATTCCTATGAATAAACCAGTCAATATCATTGTTAATATATATATATATATTATATATATATACACAATATTTGTGTATATATATTTTTTTAAAGCAGCATGGCATGGGGCATATTGATCTCAGTAAAGTTTACTATGTATGGAGAACAGTTCAGAGAATTAATTGAAAATGTGTACTCTCTCTCTCTAACACTAGATGGAAACAAAGTATAATAAAAAATAATGTCAAGAGCACAGACAGAGGGAGAGTAAGGCAGAGAGCTCTCAGAACAGAATACCTGCTGTAGTGTTGTGCTCATGTCCTTTCTCCTCAGCTCCATCACATAAACAGACCGACCCAGTCTGGCAGCTATTTGTTGAGGTGGAATTGTACACCACTGTCATCAGCAGCGATATATGCTGTCAAACTGGAGGAGCAGCAGCATGGCAAACAGAGAAACGGGGAAAATGTTTTGCCCTTACATGACATAGAATCTTGAGATAATACAAAGACACACATAAAAGCATAAACATATCCACATCCCTTACCCTTACCCTAGACTGGTAATACATTGTACTGGTAAACATATCCACATCCCTTACCCTTACCCTAGACTGGTAATACATTGTACTGGTAAACATATCCACATCCCTTACCCTTACCCTAGACTGGTAGTACATTGTACTTGGTAAAACATATCCACATCCCTACCCTACCCTAGACCTGGTAGTACATTGTACCTGGTAAACATACCCACATCCCTACCTACCCTAGACCCTAGGTAGTCATATGCGTACAGCCAGCATAAACCTAACCTAACCCTAGGATCATATCCACATCCCAGCACAACCCTAACCCTAGGATCATATCCACATCCCAGCACAACCCTAAAACCTAGATCATATCCACATCCCAGCACAACCCT